GGGAGGGCCTTGAACACCCTTTTTGGACATATAAGACTATGAATTAAAAGTCCTCATTTACAAGGCAAGAAGAGAACTTAATGCATACTTAACCCATATGTGACAATCATTTGATAAACAAGAAATTCAAGTAAATTGGGACGCAAGCAACCAATTTAAATCACTTCAACTCAACAATCTGTTATACAAAGATAACAGTGACACGCTCAGACCCTTGTTAGTTTTGATTGCGAACCTTAAGGCATATACCAAAGGCCCCAGAAAGGCACTTTTCAAACTAACTGTAAACTTATCTTGCATCACAAAAAGCAGCAAGAACTTGCCCAACAAGTAACAAAGTGCCATTCCCTCAAGGAGCCGTGCGAGGGACTGGACCCAGAAATCCTTGCCCAAACACCACCCTTATTACCAATCAGATTTCGGTTGAATACTCACATTCCAACAGACACCATTGCACCTCATGTTGATTGGAAGTTTGGAAGTGATCGGGCAACTAGCTGGAAGATCTTTTTCTTGAATCAAGTGAACGACACCGTGAGGAGTAGTCTGTGGCTGAGAGTGCATGGCTTGGTGGTGGTGGGGATTTTGAGGTTGATGGTTCCCACATACTCATGTTGATTGGAAGTTTGGAAGAGATCGAGCAACTAGCTGGAAGATCTTTTTCTTGAATCAAGTGCGAGAACGACCCCGTGCGGAGTAGTCTGCGGCTGAGAGTGCATGGCTTGGTGGTGGTGGGGATTTTGAGGTTGATGGTTCCCAAATAGGATGCAAACAAAGTACAAACCACATCTCGAATTTCTTTCTTCCATATTTTGCTGACTCAGTTGCTGATAATCGACGGTGTCTGGTTTTAGAGAGAAATGGAGACTCCGACACTTGCTTGGAAACCTTAAAAATAATGTAATCAAGTTGCAATTTTGTATTATATTATGCACGGACATTGTTGAAGTAACAATCTTAGTCACTACGATCTGCTGCATGTATTGCCACACTAATTTAGGTTGGAAAAATGCTTTGAATTCATATTTTTTCAATTTATTTTTCATATTTGAGGGAAGAGTTGGTTCTGTACCATTTTTTGTGATTTAAAATTGGAAAAATTAGTATCCGGTCAATAATTACTAATGTTCATTGACTGAAACCTTATTAGTTTTCAGATTTTGACCCAAGTCCCTAGCATTAATGTAATAATGAATTTACATGTTAGTTACATAATTTTTCAAAATAAAAATTAATAATTGATTTAGGATTTTAATACTCACACCTTTATTAAACTCCTAACTAATTTTTAATCCAAAACATTTCCAAAATAAATAAAAAATTAGAATAAGTTTGTACCCATTAGCTTTTTAAAAAAATGTTTTCAATTTTTTAATCTTATATGTACCCATTCATGTAAATGTTTTCAAAATTTTAATCATAAAATGTACCCATTCTTAAATATACCAATTTGTTATATGTAAAAGGCACCATTTTTTTTTATATAAAATCTATTCAATTTTTTTCTAATCCATTTTTAAACTTCTATGGATACATTATTTTTTCTTTGATTTTGAGAATGTATCAATGTCAAGTTTTATCGAAGAAATTTACTAATGTTATTAAGCCTAATATCTATTATTATTATTTTTATTTTTTGTGTGGTTTTGAGGAATGTACCCATGTTGTGGTACAATAATTTTTTTTTTAAATACACACACACACACACACAATAGTATAATTTATATTTTAATATTTTTAATTCCTCAAATTATGGGTTTTTATTTAAAATCTCATTAACATAAACAACTATAAATTTCAATTTTTAATTTAAAATATATAGTAACATAAATAGAAATAAATTGTCACATTAATTTCAAGGAAAACTAACAAAGTTTTTGTAAAAAATAATTGATAAATAGGGACCGTATCTAAAGTATCCCTTTAAAATTACTAATGCCAATAAAATTACTACTTTCACTTTACCCTTTTACTTAGTAATGGGGAAGTTCAAATTTCAGAAAACCTGACGTTGAATTCATGCCATCTTAATAAGGTGAATTGCCTACAATTGTTGTAATTGTTGAAAAATTATTGGCTGGCGTTGGAACACAATCGTGTGGTATAATTATTTTATGACGTGTTATAATATGGATGAACACAAGGCCTAGGTTTTTTTAGCTTCGATGAAGGAAATTGAAATTCTGCTATAAAACCAATTAGCAATATGAAGAGTAACTGAACTCCTTATGTGACGGTCTTCCTCAAATTTGGAGATACTCTCAACAACCAAACCTAATGGGGTTTCAACTGTAAACAAAAGTTGTCATTCTTTCTAATGAAATTTCTAAAGGGATCACGGAGTGAATGTAAGCAAAATCAGCAGCTGAACCACTATAAATTGTTGCTTTTGCATGTGGTTGTTTATTTCCTTGAGGTTGATTGCGTGCGTAGTCATCATACTCCATCGACAACAAAATCCTTAGAACGGCATGTGTACAACATGAATTAATTAAACTATGACTGTATTCCAATTAATACCAAATAATCTCGTGTTGATTACATATAAAATCAATGTTTTCCACTCTATCAACAACCTTAAAATGGCATGTATACAACATGAATTAATTAAACCACGACTGTATTCCAATACCAAGTAACCTAGTGAAGAACACTAGAAAGATCAATGAAACTCATGCTGTAAAGTCGCATTAATACTCATAGTCTCGTACCATCCACTTGTATTGTCTGCGAGTGTAGGCCATTTGTTCGATTTGTGGCTGTGTTTTTTGTGTTCTTTAATTTTACAAAAGCAAATTAAGAAACAGTAGAATTACAACACAAGGCACTGCATTCGTAAGTTGCATGAAAACGATGGGGGAGCAGCAGCGCATGTAGTCATGACTCATGACTCACGTGCACTTCAAGTTTTCAACAAATGATATGCACTTTCCTGGAGTTAATTGGTGTGTCAGTCCAAGGTGTGGCCTATATGTTTTTAATTAAATCTTAATCACAAGCTTTTGATAGCATTTTACAGATCAAAGTCATCAAAACTGTTGGATTACAAAGGTAATTTTATAAGGTAAATATCACAGTCGTTGTTGGACCACACATGATTTTTGTAAACAAACTTATGTGGTATCCAGTCATCGCGGAATAAAAAATAGAAAGCAAACAATTCAAGGTTTGAGAAAAAATGGACTGCTAAATTCATCATGTTTAATCTGACTTTAAGCACCCACGAATATGAATGGCACCCCTTCCTCAAATTGCTGGTGGTGGTTGAATCATATGCTGTCCTCGTTTTACTACGATGTATGGAGGCTCTATCTTTGTTGGTTTGCTGCCCAACCCGTAGAGAGTGAGGTGCCTTGCTAATCCGAGTAGCATAAGACATGTTTAATACGACCTCACATCCTGTAAACGGTGGTTTGTGAACAAATTTCAAACACCTTACCCACTTGGCACAAGCTTCGCCACCACTAATCACTTTAATACCCTACTTAGTTACAAGCTCACGCTACCATGCTTGGCTAGAGACTCTATCTTGGTATCGCGGGAAACACACTCATGTTTCTATAGCACTTTTTACGTAACTCATCATAAGATAATTTAATTACGTAATGAATGTTAGAGAAAATAAATCTAATCAAATAATAAGTGTTACACAAAAAAAAAAAAAAAAAAGTATAGTCACGTAATCAATCTTGTAGATGTATGAATGCATTCGCCCGGGATGCCTATGGTTCCCCACAAAAATATGAATGGCCATCAACACATCTGAAGATGGAAATTATTTTTTTCCGAAAAAAAAAAAAGAAGTCGGAAACTTTGTTAGTCTAATTCATAAAAGGTGTGGTGGTTGTACCACCCTTTATTTGCAAAGTTCTCTAATTCTGTATACATGTGCTTTCCTCTTGCGACCAAACAACCAGCGAAGAAATAGCCACACACCCCACAAAGATTCATAACCAGATATTTTCTGTGGTGAAAAAAAATTAAATGACTGATATTTCAGAGTACAGTTGAATTATTAAATAAAATAATCAAAATTTTAAGTCAGACATTAAAAACCACAAACAACAGGTCAAAGATATCATTACGACGGTCTTTCATGTTCTCAAATAAATCACGCAACAATAATTACGGGATAATTTAGTGATTTGAGACAAATTTCAAATGTGTATTTCACATTGTATGTTCTAAGTTTGATTTTTTACGTTGATGAATCGAACAATAGTGTCCAGAGAAAGACCAAAATGCCTATGTGAGTCTTTCAAGCCCTCCAAAACGGTTAACTGTTATGACGAAGCCATTACCTAATCCCTCTTTTTTAAAAATAAATAAATAAAATAAATCACGCAACGTTTTTATCTTTGCCACATAACAACTGTATTAACATCCTGAAACACCTTTTACATAACAAATGACCATCTGGCTTCCAAAAAAAACATAAAACAAATGAACATCTTCCTCGAAGTTTTCAACTTCCGTTAACCTGTACGATTTTAAACATTTTGTTCAAGTCTGTCGCCTCTGGTTTTATTCTTTAATTCCAATTTAAAACTAATACAGGGCAAACTAAGCAAACCCAGCACGTTGGGTTATAAGAAATCGTAAAACAAAAATCAAACCCAGCAAATCGGTTCTAATTAAGCAAATTAAACACACAATTAACAATTAACAAAACGTCCAAAAAAACCGTAATTCCAACTCTGAAAAACCACCAACTGGAACCGGAAGCGTATGTTTATGCATTCCAAATAATTTCGACCGCATATAAGCATTCTCTCGTCTCTTTTTTTCCTTCCATTTTTCTCTCCTCTTGTTTGAAGGCTAAAGATTTTACTTATGTAGAGAGGGAAAAAAAGTAGAGAGAAAGAAGAGAATTCCCCATCCGAGCAAGAAACCCCTACTCCCTACCGACAATTTAAAACGGAAGTACAAACCATGACACATGTACTTCTGAAAATCACGAAGATTCCCAATACAACCCCCAAATTAAAAAAAAAATTAAATTAAATAAGAAAAAAACCTTCTCATTTAATTAATATAAGATTAAATGCTAATTGATGTGAATTATGAGATTGGAGAACCCAAATTAAACACCCAAAAGAGACCCAATCACAAATCAACGCCAAAGTCTTCAACTTTGGAAAAATAAGAAAAACTAAAGGGGAAAGAAAAGGAAGTACAAGGTTTTTTTCCTCTGAATTCTAATGGCGGGAATTACAACTAACTCTAGAGCTCCGCCGTCAAATTAATCATCTGTGCGCCGTCACCAGCGTCTCAATGAACCTCAAACCGTCGAATCTCGGCTCGAACTTATCCTTGTCCGACGCCGTATGCGAATTTTTCCCGCCGTTCTTCGTCGCCGGGGAAGAAAAACCCTAATCAAAAGCAATTAACGCCGCAATTAGATTAAAGTTCCGATATAATAACAGATCCATTAATCCAATTTCACGAAATTCAAAGCAAAATCCAAACTTTGCAGCATTTTGTAATTTTGTGCGTACCTGGTTGGACGAAGACGACGTCGTCAGAGCCATGGTGGAGGCGGCGACTACCGATGCGACCAGAGGGCCCGAGCCCTTCATTTTCGGAGAACTCGAAGTCGACGAGAGGAGAGAAACGGTGCGTTTCGGGGCTCCGAAAACTAATGATTCGAATTCAGGTGGTCGAAACCCGACGAGGCTCGCCGGATCTCTAACCCGAACTTTGCGATTTCCTTCTCTCTTTTTTTTTCTTCTTAATTTTCCGTTGCGGAGAGAGGCTTTGGCTGGCGCCTCTGCCGGGCCGTTATTTATACGCGTTCCCTGGTGTGGGCGACTTTCACCGCATTTAACGGGATTTAATTTTAAATTTAGATCCGGCTTCGTGTGGAGATTCTTTGTCACGCTAGCGTTTTTGGCTGGTCGGATGGATGGATGGTTGTGATTGCCTGGTGTTTGATTCGCAAAAAATCTGACATCGAAAGGTATACGCTCCCCAGTTTGGAAGAGGTTTTTAAATTTAACGGGTACACGGGATGGTACATCACGTATCACTATACAAATGATTGGATATGTGTGTTAAAAAGTTAATAACTTAAAAAATAAAATTTTTTTATCACTCCTATTAAAACAAGTGGTGTACCACTTGTGTTTCCGTCACAACTAAAAATTTCTCCTAGTTTGGACCACGTAATTAAACAGCTAGATGTACGATGAAGAACTCAATAACTTGGATCGAACAACTAAACAAGTAAGCATTTCAGGGCATGTTTTAGTGGCTGATCCATGATTCATACCTCATAGGGGAATCTAGTGTAGAGATCAAAACTATTTTGGATTCAAATAATATGTCAAATTTTTATTTTTTTTCGAATTCCAATCTATTTCTATTAAGTTTTGTTACCAAGGCATTTTGTCAAGCATTTGTTGGCATGTTGACATTTGTTGAGACATGTCGAGCCATGTGTCTAGACTTGTCAAGCATCACTTGTTGAGCCCTAGCAAACTGACGTTTCTTCTAACACTACCCATTACAGGGTCTCCAGAGGACCTTCTGAATTATTTTTCAGTCTTCTATGGAGCCCTAAGGCTCAACTGGTCCCTTATTTACAAACTTGTTGACGTGAACTGAAGGGTGAGTGTGAGAGGTGATGGTTGGTCCCGTTCATAGAGGTAGGTGCACCATTAGGTAGAGTGAGGGGGAGAGTGGGTTAGAGTGGTTTTTTCTTTGGGTACAGAAAGGAAGATGCCTTGGTTTGAGCCGTTAGATACCAAGGAGGATGGGTCCCATTAGCTTGGGGAATTGCGAGTTCTTGGAGGGAAGGGTGGTTACTGGTTGCGTTAACATTCATTTGCTTAAGCTCGACGCCGTTTTGGTCAGTCAGTCAGTCTGCTCACGCATGCGATCATCTTTTGGAATATTCAACTTTTGACTTTTATTTTGAACACCTAACGTATGATAATCCTTTTTTAACATTCTTGTTTCTTTATATCAATCAATAACTTTCACTTTGATTAATGAACATTTTTTTTTTCTTTCTAAAATGTGAGAATTGAATGTTACTAGTCCAAATAATTGTTTATGATAAATTACGTTTATATAAGAATTCGAGATTTTTCCAGTTATTTAAATACGCATAGTTGACTAATTATCAATCAAACACAAGAAATATTAACCTTTTTAGTTGTACCAAAAATTGTAAGGCATGCATAAGGAGGATTTCCTCTTCTCCTAATCTCTTTTTTTTCCTCCCCTCCTACTTGAATGATTACGGTTAAGATACGTCAATATCTTATATTGATTTTTTTTTTTATAGAGACAATAAGACAAAAACATGTGAGATGAGAGGAGGGAAAGAGATGGGGGGAGGGGAGAGAATCCTTCTCTCTGGTTTACAAAGTAGTTGGAAACATATAATATTATGATGAGTGAGATTTATGAATATGGTCAAAGAATCTTCAACTCATATTTGGTCTTTCTTGTGATAAAGCTACGGGTGTAAGTGGATTTCCTGCCCCTTCAAGCACCGGAGGATTCACCAACGAAAAAAAGGATATAAAGATGAAGCACTAGATGTGATTCTCCACCGCTCTAATTTGGTCAGGTGGGTTGCGAATCAAAGATAAATCCTTTTTCTTTTAATTTAATTTAATTTTTTCTTAAGCTAAATAATTATTAAAGCCACTGAGGAAAATCACTACTCATGAATAAACTAGGAATACCACATAATTTCCATACCAGAACCTACATTTACTAGGAACTTGGATTTTAAAAGGGAAAGCCTGTAATTCCTTTGAAATCCTTAATCCCTTGTCTATATAAGGTCAACGCATTTCTTGAGTCCCCCGTAAATTCGCAATCTTTTCGTTCCTCAATCTCGAATGATTGTGTTTAGTGAGCTGTTCGATTTGGAATATTTGCGAGAATGTCTGTTTTCAGTGGGTTTGGTGGAGGCATATGTGGTGACTCCTTTGGTGATGATCACCAAAATCAACCACCAAAGCAAAAGATGCTAAGAGTAATTGTTGAGAATCAGCCGGGAGTGAAGTTATTGTGAGCAAGAACATTAAGAGTGTGGGCAACTCCAACAACTCATCATCATTGAAAGCCGATTTGGCTGTGAAACCGAGAAGTTCTTTTGCACCTTTTCATTTTTCATCCAACTTCCCCTTAAATAAAGGCAAATTTGCCATTTAACAAGGTAAAATAATAATGAAAATGAAAATAAAGAAAAACAAACGAAAAAACCTGTAACTAAGCCCCGATACCTAATTGAAAGTGAAAAACTTATCGGTAAGGATGACATTGGTCATAGTTTACAAGGTAAATTGGTTGGAAAAATTGGCACTTACATGATAGTTTAGGGAGGTAAGCAACATTTTACTCTTAATTTTAATATGAGGTATGAATGCTAAGTGAAGGTCGCCAAGTTGATCCCTTAATTTTCAACAACTAGAACCTCGGTCAGGATTTGCGATATTTGCTATGGAACTCATCCATAACTGCTCAATAACATGCCCCAATTTTGTCACACATCGTTGCCGAGCTCCAAATTTGTTCATGAACATTTCTTCCACTCACTAAACAAGCAACTAGTCACAAGAGAGAAACGATACCATAATGATAACATATTAACAGTTGAAAATTGACATAACGATGGTCTATCGATCTAAGATCTCAACAACGATAAATACTCCTTTGAACACTTCACAAATTCTGAGGATCCAACCCCCTCTCAAGAGGCATTGAGATTTGGGTTTTCTGAGTTTTGGAAACGAACTATTTGAAAGCAAAGCCCTAGAACTTTATAAGCTGGGCAGTTGATTTGTGCACTTAGGCCAATTAGGTTGGGCTGCTGAGTAGTAAATCAAATTACGATAAATCTTTTTTAATTTATTTAAACTCTATCTTCTTCTTTTTTTCAGAAGGAACTGAAAATCAAATTAAGATAAATATTTTTTAATTTATTTAAATTTTATCTTAAGCTAACAAAATTCCATAATTCCTTGATTCATTAGGATTCGGAATCCAAAGGGGAAACTGATTTCCTCTAAAATTTTGAATACTTTGTCTATGTAAAGGTTAATGCGATTGTTGAGTCTTCCGTCAACTCATAATCTTTTTGTTCATCAATCTCAAAGTCCTTCTCCTTCTCTTGGTGAGCTGTGAAATTTGTTGTTTTTGTTCATCAATGTCTGTTTTCAGTGGATTTGGTGGAGGCATCTGTGCTGACTTCTTCGGTGACGAATATGGTGTGGCTCTTCCTAGTTGCAAGTCAACTACCAAAGCCAACGATACCACTCCGAGTTCTTCAGAATCATCAACCATGAATAAAGCTACTCCGAACAAGAACAAGAACGTGGAAAGTCCAGAAACTAATCAACCAAAGCCTGGGATGTGGAGCTATGCACTGTCTTTACAACCTACCTTTGATGGCATGTTCTTCGTTGTAAAACCCTAGTTTTTCCAACAAACCTACTTATATATTAATGTTCAATTCTTAACTTGCTACTGGCCACTCGGTATAGAAACCTTTTATTTTATGGAGTACTTAGGAAAATATTATTACGATTTATTAAAATTAAGGTTTTTATTCTTTGATAAATTATTTTTTTATATGCTACAGAAGACTTCAATTTGCTCCATATTTATATTCTAATCATTCTAAGTTAAACATAAGCACACAAAAAGATGACAATATACAAACCTAAATTTCAAATACGACAATTAGCAAACGACATAAATTTAAATCAGGATAATTAAAAGAACCAAAGTAAAACTTCGCATGGACCAAAATTCTGTTTCGCTATTCCAAATATTGGAAGTCAATCCATTAAGCAATATTCTATATGGTTCAAATCTTGAAGAGTTGAAGGTTGATATAGCATAATATTATATCTACCCATCTCCAAAACATGAATCCGGCCTTTTCAGGTTGCGTCATTCCCTTATCACAAACTGACGAATCACCGACCGAGGAAGTGGTCTTTTTCCATCCTTCCATCTTTGATTCTTTATCCAATACTTGACAGTTGACTATCCAATAATACAACTCTTGGGAAATTCAAGTTTGCGCTGCAGCTCCTGTTCATATCGAACAACCAACAAGTCTACATTCTCCTTTCTAACTATCTCCAAGACAAAGTCAATGATACCGGAATGTGCTATGAGTCGAGTCAACAGAACACTACGTAACTCGTTACATATCAAGCACTGTTGAGTTCAATTAATAATATCAAAATATATTCTAAATCAAATCAATAAAAAACTGTTTGACTCTTTATACACAGTACTCTGTTTAGTTCTGTACTCGTAGAAAGTCAAATATTTCCTGACTAGATAGATTTTCAATCCGAATTGCATCATATAGTATTAGATCCAGCTGTGAACTAAGAAACTCAAAGGTTGATATTCACAAACCTAACATGCATAAATCAACTCACATGTATCATGCAATATTTTATACATGTTGCACGTTATGCCTTATTCGTGCTAAGTTCATTATTTCAAATGTTGTTAATAGTATTGAAGCCGTAGAATCAGGTGATCAAGGAGCACCTTCAGTTTAGAATAACAACACTGCTTCGAGTTTGGCTGACTATGTTAGAATAAACATATACCAAAACATGTAATTATGAATCACAGTGATCAAAATACAAATCCTATTCATAAGCCTATAGCACAGAGAAGAAACTTACCTGCAGTTGAACTTGAAGAAGCAGCCATTCCAGATTCTGCAACAAACAAACAGTGCACCTTCTCCTCTTTGCAGTAATCAGTTTGCTCTAACTAATAATAGGTCTTAGTTTGATGATTGAGTGTATAAACTGTGAGAGCAGAGTCCACTATATATACACAACATAATCCTCGCCAAATCCCATAAGGATTCCCCTATTAGAATCCTTATAGACAACCAACATAGTGTTTCAGCATAACATGGATTACAAATCCATTCTCAATAAGAC